ATGTATATACACCCAGTCTTCCTGAAAGAACTTGCGCTGAGCTTCATTTAAATCTTGAAAAAAAAGATAAATAACACAAATTTAAATTGCCCCACAAATAATAAATAAACACATTAGCCATATTACCATGGGAAATTAAAGGGGACACAGCAAATAAATGCTGCCATCANGACACATGCCATATGATAAGGTGCATGAACACCTGAAATCACAGCTGACTGCAGGAGAGGGGAGAACCATTTTATAGTTTGGCTGCAGCACGTTGATTGGCTGCTGGAGAATGAGGTGAAATGTAATAGGTTAAAGAGAACGCCTGTGATGAGCTGATTATATGCAGCTGCGGAGTGAATGTATATACAACCAGTCTTCCTGAAAGAACTTGCGCTGAGCTTCATTTAAATCTTGAAAAAAAAGATAAATAACACAAATTTAAATCGCCCCACAAATAATAAATAAACACATTAGCCATATTACCATGGGAAATGGGGACACAACAAATAAATGCTCATTAAATAATAGCTTAGCGCATAAGAGATAATGAATTTGGTAATTGCATACTTTTTAAACTGTCACTCTTAGCTAATTCAGAGTCATTATTACCAGCTGCTAAAGCAACGCTGGTATTGTTTTCACCTATTGAGTCTGCATGTGTGTGTCATCATGGCAATGTGGTCCTGAAGACACACAGAGGTGGCTTTGAGTACTTTGCCTAGTGTTTAAATGCATGTGGACAGATTTTGTCAATCACAACCGTGCAAGTTTTAGTGTATCTTCTCATCTTTTTTGCAGGTTCCATACAATAGTTGAACTGGTTAAGTGAAGAGCAGAAGCCACTTTTCAAATGTTACACAATCCTTTTCCCATGCCATTGCTGTCAACACCTATCCATGCTGAACGTTGCTAAGATATTATTGATTAGGGCGTGGCCAAAAGTGCAATATGCTTCAAAATGTAACTGACAGAGAGCAGTGCTTTTGTCCTGTGTTTTTACACTGTGTATGGATTTTATTTTATTTCAAGATTTCAATTACGTCGCTAAACTCCTTGAAAAGGTCCTCTTCCTTTTCTCCAACGTACACGACAAGGCAGCGGATGGCTATAGTTCTCTGCGTACCTCAAGTGTATTGTGCTATTTTTGAAAAAGGAAAAAAAGAGAAATTACCTAAATGAATATATTCTGAATTCGTGACTGCCAACAACTTGCATTTCAATGACAACTCTAAATAACGATCCTACCTAAAGAAGCAAGTCCTTGATCTGCTTCACCGAGATTCATTTTTAATAAAAAGCGATATCACAATAGTAACCAAAGTATTTTTACTCTCACAGTAGCCTCTACTACTTTGTATCCTCTCACAGAACTATTCACAGTTCAAAGGATGCTAATTTAGGTCAAACAGCAATTTGCCTATACAGTGCAACTACAAGGCTACAGTATCTGCTGTATTTGAATGACAAAAGATGACACTCACCTTAAAATGTCCTTTGTGTAGTATTTCTATTTGTCTTAACTGTCGGAACTTGTCCAGGCATGTTAAGTGGGAGTGGACTTGAAATCCTTAACTCAAGGTGTAGAACAATTAAGTTATCAAGCCAATTGCATTACTTAGTACAACTTGAATTTAGTTTTAAGTCAATTAACCCAGAAATCAGAGTTCAAATTACACACAATATTAAGTTGATGTAATTACCAACATTATTACGTCAACACAACTTATAAATTAATGTTGGCAACTTAAAATGTTTATCTAAATCAATTAAATCACATTTTTATCTTGCAACCATGCATTTAATTAAGTGGAGGTGAAAGGTCGCCTCAATTCGTTTTTAGAGTGTAAGCATAACAATTCATTAGTCTGATTTCTATGATCAACTGGTTGAAGTTAAGTTTTGTTCTATAAACATTTATAGGCAAATAAGATATTTCAGCAAGCTTTTGCAAGTCAAAGATGCAGGAGTCAGTAGTGGAAGTAAAACCTGCCGTTGCCGGCTGTTCTTTGGTCAGTGTGGGTCGTCAGGGTCACATCTGTAAGATGAAAGGAGCGGCTGCGGTTGGTTGCTTCCACAGAGGCATGGAAAGGTCAGGAAGTGGCCCCAGCACAAACACCAGACTCATTGTTCAAGTTCAAGGTAACACTGAATGGGGTTTTCATTCAGTTAGCTGGGCCCTCCGTCCTCTGACAAGTCCCTGTTTTTAAAAGGGTCGTAATTAAAGAAAAACACTGCCTTTGGCAACGTTGGTTTTGTGCAGTTATAAATGAAAACTAATTAGGTCAATTTTATTTATTTAATTAGGGGTTTGGTGTGGGTTGAGCACAGCATTGCTGTCTGGGTTAAATAATTAGCTGCAAAGTATATTTTTATATCACATTCATATGGTTCCTGACACGCTGCCAATGCTCAGATGTGTCCAGTCTCTGTCCTCAGACAATGAACAAGGTCACAGCCAAAGGGTCAGATGTCAGGGCAGCATTCCCCTCCTCCACCTCTAGCTGCCTCCCTTCCTCCCGCTTTCTCTGTTGTGTCTGTTCCGTCGTCAGCTCCTCATTAACTTCTCACAGGGGATTTCCTGTTCACCTCCTTCCCTTCCCTGTGACTGTTCAAACTGAACAGTTAGCTTAGCTCTTTTTAAAAAACATGAATAATTTAATCTTTCACGCTCATTGCATTGAATATGCAAACTAACTGGCTAAAAGTTGTAAGTACACACTGGGAATATTAAAAGGTAGGCGGTGCACGGCTAAACTGGCTACAGTGTAATTGATGACTTTGTGCTCTCATTGAGTACGTACACACATACGCATAATTCAGGTTCTGACTCACCCCTTTTACAGAAAGTCAATACAAATACAGGAATGATTAATCAGTCCCTCCGTGGCCCCTCCCTCTCTGCTCCCCACCTTCAACTCTCTCTTCTCAACCCCGCTCACCCTCTCTCAGCTTAGTATTGATCTGAATGCATTTGCTTCCCATTTATCCGTCAGCCCCCCTCCCCCATCACGTAAACACTGCCACTGCATCGAGCGGTCACAAAGAACCTTTTACACAGGAGTGTCTCCTGTGCACACGGAACTACACACTTTCAGGCGCATGCATGTGCAGCAACAGCAAACGCACCGCAGCGTGCGCGCCATCTGAGACTCTGATGGGTGTTACACTCAGCTGCATGGCATGGGGGGTTTTGGGTGTACAAATTAGGGTCCTTTCAAAGTGCATGTGCATTATGTGTGTGTGTATGTGTTTGTATGTTGTACACACATTAGCTTAAACACAAGGCGGCATTCTCAAAGGTTTAGCTGACAGCTCATTGGACCCCCCCTGCTTACCCCCTTAGCATTCTGGTTGGTGGCACACAGGTTGCCATGACACCAGACCGTTTTGTCTGCCCTTTGACCTCTTTAAGGGGTGCTGTGGTCAATCAGGCATGTGAGGGGCAAATAGAAGGGAGGGGGGATGCATTTCCTCTGTAAAAATGAGGTCCAAAAGGTTCTATACATCCGTTTTTGTACAGAGCAGAAGGTGGGGAGCCTCTGAGGGGCTCGCAGTGAAACAAAGACACATGTGCACGTACAGACATGGCAGCGCTCTGCAAGGGTAAATGAACTAGGCTGGAGCTCCCAGGGGGGGGGAGTTATTATGCTCATTGTGCAGTTGGCCCGCTGAAGCTGTTTGGCTGCTTCTTTTGAAGTTATATTTATCAAACTGGAGCAGGAGGCTTAGTTCTCCAGGCTGGTGCATCGCTTTGTCCACACTGCAGGACGCATGTGTGTGTGCATTGAGATTGCTTTCAGATATCAAGATTGAAACACCCTCACATGTTTATCCAGACAATCGCAAACAGAAAGAAAAAAGCATGAAACAAAATTGATGTTCTGTGTGCTGCCGGTAATGTCCAACCCTGATGACTTCAACCAGTGAAGCACTAAAATGGTATCGTCCAAAATAGTAATCCTCTGTAATAGCAGAAAGCAAGTGTGCTCACAATAAGCAATTAACTTGTGTTAATATCCAAACATTTATCAAGTAGTACTCAGGAAGCAAAGCGAAACGTTACATTTTACTTTTGTAAATGTGTGTGAATGAATTGTCTCACTGATAGAATATACTCTCTGTCTGAATGTTCACAGAAGTTAAAAATAGAATCATCTTCGTGGTATATTTTATGTGACCTTCATTTACTATCTTATTGTGACTGCACCCTTTTGATTCTTTCTAAAAAGTGTATGTATTGAGTGAGGACCTCAGTTCTGCCTATAGTCATTTCATTACTCATATCCTTTTAAATTCCTCTTAAATTAAATACTGAAATGAATGAATGTCCACATGACGAAAAGAGCAAAAAACCTGAATCTGTTTGCTGTGTTTGTCTGACTTACATGCTGTCTGAGATGAATGAGATTTAAAGACTCAAATATAGCAGGACGAAACACTATATATTTTTATATTTCAAAAATGTGCTCTAAAGTGACCGTGTGTGTTATACTTTGGAGCTGTTGTCTAAGGCTGCTCACGAGTAAGTCGGTAGCTTTTGATGGTCTTGTCCAGTGACACTTCAGCTGTTGCAGAGATTGAACCTGTGACCTCTTGGTTAAACAGTCTTTCTATTCACATGGCCAGCTTCTCTCCCTCTAACCTGTGTGTGTGTGTGTGTGTGTGTGGAAAGGAAATAGATGAGTGTGTGTGTGTGTGTGTGTGTGTGTGTGTGAACCTGTGACCTCTTGGTTAAACAGTCTTTCTATTCACATGGCCAGCTTCTCTCCCTCTAACCTGTGTGTGTGTGTGTGTGTGTGTGTGTGTGTGTGTGTGTGTGTGTGTGTGTGTGTGTGTGTGTGTGTGTGTGTGTGTGTGTGTGTGTTTTCTGTTTGTGTTTCAGTCTGCTTCTGCCTAATATCTGAGGAGAGCTGACACACTGACAAGGCACTGATCTCAAGGTAACTATAGTTCCTTTACATTTTACTCATCCATCAATCAACCAGTTATACATTTACATTCATCTATTCTCCTAACCCTCCATCGATCTATCTGACTTTTTCCCCGGGTCCTGGTTTTTCCATGGTTATTCCTATATTCAAACTTTTCAATTTACAAGGGAAATTATGGCTTAGATAATGGGGGCACTATGTTATCAGAAGAAATATGAAATCACGTTGTTGATATTCAGTAGAATGTAAATGTTGGTGCAGATTGAGTATTTGAAGGTCTGTAACAAGAAAAGTCATAGGTGTCTTCAATTATTTTTATTTTTTGGTCGACCAAATAGCTCACTCCCAAATCTCGTTCTTTATCTCCAGATCTCAAATTATTTTCTGGAAGACAAAGGACTAGGCCTGCAAAAATGCACATACACACACATGTTGTTGACTAATGTAGTCTTTGAGCCTTTATAGATTTGGATTACATTTATATGTATGCCTTTCGTGAAAAGGGAATTGTTTGTTCTTGAATGATTTGGCAATAAATTACACGGGGTAATGGAAAGTTATGTAATCATGATTATCCAAGAATTCAGGAATGCTTTTCCACAGTCAGTTATATAATGAAAGATTATTATCCCACCACTTTGATGCTCTGGCTGACCAGATGATAAAATCCCAAACTGATTTATGACTTGCCTAAAAAAGTCGGCCAATGGTTCTCTGTTTCTTTATTTGGCATTACAGGCAGAACCATTTTACAGATCTACACACACCTTCAGCACTTTAAAACCTGAGATAAATTCCTCCATAGTGCATTTGATTCAAAACTTTTAAAAGGGTGGGGCTACGAAAAGGCCAGACGCACACCAATCCCAGCCTACGTGGATTGACAGCTGTGCCATGGCAACAGTTTGGCTAGTTGCCAGGATGTTAGGGTTGCCAGGCAAAATATTCCCATGGCAACATTCATTTAGCGATCTTGTAATGTGAAGCTGGCGTCAACCAAAGCAGATTAGTGTAGGATAGAGTATTGCTCTCACCTGGGGAAAAATACATGCATATTGCAGTAGATCAAAGTGTTTCTCTCTTAGATTACACACATCAACATTATGGAGACGCTCCCTTATTGAAAGATGTGTTACTCCCAATTAAATGCAGTGGCCAAGGTGGTGCACAGATACTGGATGAAACTGGGCTTTGACATACTGAAAATCAGCTCATATTTTACATTCAGCCTGGAGAAACATTTTCCATCTTTTCCCTGAGTTACATCATGTTTTTAATTTGATTAAATACAGAATGAAAGCATTGAAGGTCAAACGTCTTGTTGCCTTGTCAAGTGGATTTCTTGCATGTCTTTTAAGGATTGTAACCCTTAAGTGTTCTCCCATTGTTTTGTCACTTCATGTGAATGATGATCAAGTAGGAGAGGAATTTTGAACTTCAACAAGCGAGACGCCCCATTTATAAGTCACCCCAGACGTTTGTTATGCTGGAGTGGGCTTTCACTGTTTAGACACTCAGACAGTCCCGCTTAAGGGTGGAGTTCGAAAGATATAGGGAGGGAGAAGGATAGCTGACTTTGGCACAATTACACTGCATTTCTGCGTGATGTGACTCTGAAAATATTGCAGACGCTGGGTATAAAGTAGAGGAGTCTTTCAGGAAGAAAAACGGCAGGCCGGAATGTGTGGGTCGAGCAGAAATGTCTGGGGTATGAAAACGGGATGGTCAAAAGGGAAATGTAGACCCATGAGGGCTGAATAGAGAAAAGGTTGAGAGAGGAGAGGAGAGGAGAGGAGGGCACTTTGGGACAGGGAAGAGAAAGGGATGGGAGCGGTAGACGGAGGAGGAATAGGACACTAAACGCATACCGAAAAAAAAAATGGAGGTGGAGAAAATAGGAAACCAATTCACCTGGCAACATTTTAGAAAGTAACACAAGCATGTTGCCTCATGGCTATCTCAAGGATTCAAGGCTTTTATTGTCATTGGTATAGCTGCAGTGTAGTTATGTCGATGAAAATGTTATGTCACAGGCTCCTCCAACAGTGCAACACAATAAAACAGATAGAATAGTGCAAGTAAATACAAATAAAATAGAATAGAAATAGTGCAATAAGAGTCGATATACAAGTAAATGAAATATATCTAGTTTCTTCTCTATGTCCGTTTGTTCTCATTGACATCCATAGCCATGCACAGTTTCACACGATGTCTGCAGAAAGATAGGTGCGGTCTGAGATCTGCACTGTGTTGTAATGATCCTTTGTTGGAAGATGGATTCCTTAAATCCCACATGCCAGGCAGTATTTTCATACAGGCAGCAGGGAGACCCAGCAGAGCTCCCACATACTGCTCTCTTTCCTCAGTGAAGGTGAAAGATGTTTATACTCCACAATGTTGATAGCGTTTCTTAAAGTATTTCTGTTTTTGTTAAGGGCCTGCGTAAACTCTTTAAGTGGCATTTAAGTAGCACATCATCTTGCCCCAGTTATGTCTGAATCTCTGCTCAGGGTAATGCAACACTCACGGCTCGTAGCTGTTAGAATGTAGCATTGTGCCAGCAGACGTGGTATTGCAGAGTGCAACAACTACGACTCCTGCAGCGAGGATCCGCAGAGCGAAAGAAGTTTCAGTTTAAGGCTTGTTTGTTTGTTTCACTCGGCGTGACATGAAGGATATTCCATTTGGCAGTGGAGCAGAAGTCACCCAGATTTAGACATCGCAGCTGACAGCAGACTTGAGGGTGATGACAGTGTTACAGCATGCAGATGGCACCTAACCGCTTTTAGTGAGAATCAGACAGCTGATGTGGACGAAAAGCTGCAGTATGTGCAAAGCCAAACAATATGGTTTCATTGTGAGTGGGACATTATAACAGCTGCTGATTTAGGAGAGGAGAAGATTTGAGTTTTGCTCTCTAGGATGTCATTTGATTAGAGATCGTTGTAACATCCTGTACATAACAGTAAAGCACAGATAGCAAGAACAATAGACGAGTGAGAGGGAGTTTGCACAGTGACCAGTAGAGGGCAACAACTCCTAAGAAATGGTTGCAAATACTATGAATGAACATGTGAAATTAAGCCTTTGTAGTAATCACACCTGCACGTGAGGCTAAGATGTGTGAACATGTCTGTTCCAATGTTCCCGATTGCAGACTACTTTTGACAGAGATACGTGTGTCTCTTATTTTGTCCCAAGGCGTCTCACACCTTCCTACAGCACATGTGTTTATTGCAGCTGTCTCATCTTTGTCCTACACCAATATCTATCTGCAGATATGCAATTGAGACTCTTAGAGCGTGTGTATATGTCTGCTCCACATAACTTACCTCCAGGCTTGCGTGCAGTCTTTAACCTGAGCTCCTTCACTGCAGCCGTCCCTGTTACATCATGGCCATTGCAGCAACACTCAGTGTAGCTTCACTCGACCCAGTACTGTGTGCAGATTTCTAACAGTAATTGCATCTCTTCAGGCAAAGTAACCCTTCTTTTCCGCTTAAGTGCTCAACAAATGTCCATTTTGTCTACCTTAACCACACACACAAATATTTTATGTCTGAGGATTTCAAATTCCTTGCTTAGATTGAAATAATAAAAAACAGCATGAAGTCAAACATGCACAAAAGAAAACTAAAGGTGTCAATCATTATTTAATCTGTACATCTCTCTAAATGACATCTAGACAAAAAAGATTTGAGAATGTTGCATGCTCAAAACAGTAGTGAGGCATGGAGCGATCAGCTGACAGGTAGACAGGAGCCAGACGGGTGTGTTCCTAGAGTAAATGTACACAGACACCTTCGTCCCTGCTGCTGAGGATCTTGCTTGGAGAGCAGCTCTACAGTCTGTGCTCTGCAGTGTGAGGTAGTTGGTTGTATGGTTTCGCATAATAAACAGCACGGAGATAACTCTACAACCTTCTAGCTTTCCCTGCGGAGTCACTCCTTGCCACGTCTAATGTGCCCCCAGCAGAGAGGTAAGTATGTTGTTACTCCGCCAGAGAATCTTATAGTGCTTAATGACATGATTTGTCCTTTGCAACTGCGTCAAACGTCTGTCCTCTGAAGGTCTCATCAGACACTCTCGCCTTCAGGAAAGTCCTCTTGCAGTCTTTATACTTCCCTATGAGCCTGTCCCGTTGTGTGTGCAGTATTGGTAGCACTGGACATGTTTGTCAGGAGGTCCACCTGCTGCTTGACAGGAAATCAGTAGTTCCTACTGCAGCAAAAACCTTTAAAGGGAGGAAGCTGATCCTCCGTTTCATTCCACAATTCTACTTTGAGGTACTGTAAGAATTAGTAGCGTGGGGAGGTTATTGTCTTTTTTTAATTTTCATATTAATAATGTTATTAACTAGACCCTTACAAATATAGGTAGGCTATTGTTTAGGAAATGCAACATAAGCCCTGATATAGAGACAATGTTTGTTTTCCTCTGCTTGCTGACAAACTGACTTGAAACCAAAATATATCAATATTAATAACGAAGAATGAAATCATAAATAAATCCGGGATGAGAAAAAGTTGACTTCTCCCACTTTTAAAAGAAAAAAAACAATGATAACTCTCCCTCTTTACTACTACCCTTGTTCCCTTCAATCCTTTCAAGTCTCACACTCTTCATATGCATTTCACACATCCTCGCTATGAAGACCATAGACTCCCTGCCTGTAATCCATGTATGGATGTACTGTAGGTTACAACAGGTATCACTTTTGATAATATTATACTTCTATGTTAACACTTCTTGCTGTCCTCTGCATCCATGCCAGCACACACTATCACACACATTCCCCCAGTTTAATTACCCTCCTCCCATTCCTCCCTTCCCCTCAGTGTGTCGGACTGGTGGTCGAGACAGCAGCCATCTGCACTGCGTTTTAGCCGGCTCTCCTCCCCTCCTGGAAAAAAGGGAGCATATATCAGAATTGTGCTGATTCGGCACTGTCAGTCTAAGCGTTCTTTATCATCCACCAGCACAATGCTGCTCCTCTGCCAGCAGAGACTGCTGAACATCTGACAGTTGTAAGGTGTGTGGGGCAAGGATTATGAGTCTGGGAGGAAGAGCTATCTGCCCTGCCTCATCCTCACTCCCTTCCTCTCATACAACGTGGCAAAGATTTTTAAACTTGGCTCATTTTATATTGTGGCAGATGCTGCACACCGTCCATATGTGTGTGCAGATTGATAAACAAACATATTACCATATATCCACGTGCACATATGCTACTCTGAATCTCTGTCACGGTGGGAATCATGAGTAAAAAAGGCTTCCTGTTCTTCCTTGAAACACCCTTAAAATGTAATCTTATTCAAAGCCCTTTGCTCACAAACACTACTTATGAGAACAGGTGTGATGAGGGTGATTGCTCTGCCTAAATGATGCCGTCTCAGATCTCTGGGGACTGTGAGGGAGAACTGGAGCATCCTAAAACAGACGAGGCAGACACCATCCCAGACTGATGATGTCATCCCTGTGAAGCACTCCCAGTGCTTTGTCTCTCAGTGGCACTGCAGAGTGCACACACACACACACACACACACACACACACACACACACACACACACACACACACACACACACACACACACACACACACACTCGTACACTCACAACCCCGGACACACACACACCTGCCTGTGACATTCTGCATTTGTCCCTCAGGTTGGGACACTGCTAATGCCATCGAGATGCTTTTTCTCGTTTTTTTTAAGTCCAATTGTTGTCTAAATCGCCTCTGCTCAGAAAGCCGTGCTGTAAAGTAGAATTATTGCGTGTGGATAGACCATATGGAGAGTCTCCTCCGATCTCATCACTTTTTTTGTAAATATAGAGGAATTTGTCTTGGGCGACATTAATGCACGATGTGATGGGATATGTGTGCAGCGCAAGCACCTAGTGCACAGCGGCACACATGGAGTGCAAAGGGACAGTGCGGAAGAACATGCAGCACACATATCACAGCAGATACTGTAAACACATTCAGCATGTTGTTTCTATGCAAATGTAGGTGGCATGGCATTGCAGAAAGATTGAGTCCACGGAGGAGGATGTAAAGAGTCCTGTAGTGCATCACAGCTGTGAATAAGAAGGTTCTACTGAATAGGATCAAAGAAGGAAATACATTCAGCTGTACTGTGTCTACAGTGCCTGCTGCTCTTTTGACACAGACTATAGGCAGTGTTGGTATATCCTGAATATGCATAGGTTATAATGAATGTATAGTGTAGTGTTGTTATTCTAACCTACATTTGGATCCTCGTCTTGCATATTTATGAAACAAACGCCTCTTTGGAAAGCTTCTGAACGAAGGTGAAGACGAGTTTGTTCCGATCGATTCCCATCATACGTAGTTTGTCAGTTCTTGCTTTCCTGTGACTGGGCTTTTCAAATTCTCAGTAAATGCCAGGAGATCGATGTGCTTACTTGTCCCTGTATTTTTCTCAATGTAATGCCTTCAAATGTGTTCTAGGAGTGGGTCTTAACTAGCAACCCATCACAGAGATGTTCTGAAAGGCCTCAGTCACTGCTCACTCCTTCAGGCCACAACCAATGTCTTCCTTTGTCGGTTTATCTTTATTGTCTCTAAATGTGTGACACATTGGTGATACTTTCTGTTGTACAACACGGTCAGAACACTTCAGGGGCATTAATGATGCTTACACTTCAAGTGTATTGTTTATGCTCCATCTCGCTGAACAGACAGCCAATCAGTGGCTCTAAATTAGATTTACTTTCATTTCTGAATTTCCCTCAGGGCCGTATGATTCTGTTATACAACGAACACAACTGCAATGCTCTGTCCTCTCCATGAGGAGCACAAATGATGGAATCAAACTGCTTTTAGACATGAGAACTGACAGAAATGTAAATGCCTAAAAATACTAACTTTAGCCATTTATTATTTTAATGCATGCAGTTTAATCTTTCTCACTGTTTCATGGGTTTAACCAGCCTTGGTTGTACCAAACAGCGAAACATGCATCATCGTCCACCTCTGATGTTAAGCTTTGTAATTAAAACACATTCTTGTAATTGGCTCTGCTTCTCCACTTTGGGTTTATTTAGTGCGTTTGATCAGTCCAGCTGCAATTTACAGTTTTGTTGGAGCAACACCGTAAATCCTGTAATCAGCGTGATGATGGCATGATTGCTGTTCACACAGGAGGAGGCAGGAATGTCAGGCTCGCAGGTTCACAAGACTCCTGGGCTTCATATTTTCTCTCTATTCTCATCCTATTAGAGATTCTGACCCTCCCCCTCCATCCCCACTTTCTGCTAGCCTCTCCGCCACCCTACCTCCCTCCCCCCATCGTCTCCCTCTCTCTCACACACACAATGTTCCTCCCTTCAGCAGACACACATACATACAAACACACACACACGCATGCCCTCCCTGCATTCTTGTTCACTTTCTCTTTCCATCTCTCACACGTTCACACACATACACACACGTAGCTCACAGACTGGAGTGTGTGTGTGTGTGTGTGTGTGTGTGTGTGTGTGTGTGTGTGTGTGTGTGTGTGTGTGTGTGTATGGGGGGGTTACTGAGCTAGTAGAGATGTGAGGCTTGAGAAACGTGAGCAAAGAGGGGGAGATGGAAGGATGACGACTAGAGAGTGTAAAAGAGGGAGAGAGGAAGGAAGAGAGTAGACTTTGAGGTACAATGAGAGCAAAGGGAGACGTCTAGAGACCGTGAATGCAGCACGGAGGGTAAATGAGTTTTGTGTGAGTGTGTGTATCATCTGTACGTGTTGGACAGCATGTGCACAGGGAGGTTTGGTGAATGAGCGAGCATGTGAAGCGAGCTCTTTTTACTCTCCCCTTTATATTCCTCCTGTTTGCAGCTCTGCGCGTTAGTGACGGCAGCCCAACAGAGACACAAGGTGAGCAGCTGTGCAGATGTTGGTGTTAGTCAGGCAGGTAGGCAGGTAGGTAGAGAAAAATGGAATCAATACTATTGTCTGTAACCTACCTGCCGCTGGCTCTCTGTCTGGCCCCACAGACCATCAGAGCGAGGGAGAGGACACACAGACTCACTCTGACTGGGAAGGAAAAGAAGAGGCTGACTAAGAGGTGATTTCTTTTCTCTTTTTTTACATTTTCACTCAAAATGTGAGATCAGATTAAGGACTGTATTTATTTATGTAGAGATAACATATATTTGATCTGAAACTTTCTCTTCACTAGTCCTTCACATCATGTCCTCTGACTATTACTATTTGTATTTGTACATGTGTGCCCTGTTTATCTGTTTGTCTGTTGATATTGATGAATTGTGAATGTCTATGTCTGCACCGCTGAAAAGCTTTGCAATTAATGCCCAGGCTGCTTGTTCTTCGACAGGTTATATATTCATTTCATATTTGATTCGCAGTTTCTTTTAATTCTGACTTTTATTTAACATGTTCTTTGGAAATCTGAGTTAACAAAATATATGATTGACATTTAACTCAATATAAATACCTTTTCATTTGTTTTACATCTGGCTGGTAAATTAGAAAAATAGCAGCTGTCAGGGAATTGAAATGTTATGACTGGCTGTGTTTTACTATGCTTTAACACCTGCTGCAATAATCATGAATGTGCTTTGTCGTTTGGCATGATTAACTCACCTTTTTGCTTTGTTGATACCAACATGACTTGTGTATTTTAAACCAATTAAAAATCAACCTATACCGCAAACAAAACGCTAATTAATTTTTTTTACGGTGGAGATATGACAAATGTGTGCTATTCCCTCTGGTCTGATCCGGCTGCCAGGTCTGTCACATGCAGTATTAACTGAGAAGAACTGAAAATCACACCTCTGATTCACAAAATCTTTGAGGCCTGTAGCTCATGAAGTCAATCTGTACTCAAGGTTTATATGTACACGTACTGCGGTTCGATTTGATGCATGACGTGACGCAGGCACCTTGCACCTTTTTATTCACATTCACACTGGGGAGTTTTCGCAGAGAAAACACAACATTTGAACTGTCAGAAGATGCAAATCTCTCTCTTCCACGACATATGAACATATTCAGCCTTCCCCAGTCAGCCTGTGTCATTCTGCCTGTCTACCAGAGGGTGGCATATTTCGAAACAATTAATTGTTTTTCTTTTATACCGAAATGTACAAAAAGGTTTGGGATACATATATATATTTGTCTTTATAAAAAAAGACTACAGTTTGGGTTTCTCTAAAGTGTCATTGTTTCATTTCAATTACTGGAGGTTTCTGTTTTCTATGCCCTCCATTTCCCGGTCTCGTTTCATCTTTACTGGTAAGTCTGAGGGCAGACTATTACAAAATAATGACAAAATAAGTGCAACATTTGGACCGTATAGCTCTGAAAATTCATCTTCACAGGAAATTTGGAGGTTTCAACCAGCTCAAATATCAATAACTAAAAATGTATAGCCACTTTTTATGAAACAAAAGTTGGTCTCGTATATAATTCTACCACCTATGTTTTATACATACCTATTATGTTGATAATTACAGTCCTCTCGGCTCATTGAGCCCAGTAAAGCTATTACACACTGTAATGTGTAAGTCCTAGCTCAATAAATCATTTTGAAAATGACAGTGACATTTAACAGCAGTTTGAAATGAATTGTTTCTCCTAACAATGCTGAACCGCTGCATTGCTGAGATTATTTCAGCCTTGAAAAATGTGTTGTTGCTCTTATTGCTGCACTGTGAAGCGAAGGAATTGTGTGGGTGAAATGAAGACAAATATGCTATTGAACATGTTTACATTGATCTGATCAGTCTTTCTTTTGATCTGCAGCAAACCAGGAGACCAGTCGGTGCCGCAGAATCCAAATGTCAGATGAGGTCATGTCTTTGTCTCGGTGCAGCCACCCTGCGGTTCCTCCTTCAATACTTTTTATCTCTGCGTCCCCTTTCTTGTACTTTTTCTTATTAGACCCTTCCTCCTTTAATTTGTCAGTATGCCCCTCTGTCCCTGAGACCCTTAACCTGTGAGGTCAAAGTAGGTCACAGGTGAGGTCCTCGGGAACAGGGCTGCATTCAGTTTCAACGGCCTACGATTAAGAATATGACGTGATGAAGTATCCGTGTTTCCTTCTCAATGTTCACTCAAACCACATGAAACAGAAGAAAAGTCTCAGAAGCTACAATGTAACGTTTCTTCTGGCTCTGATGTATTTCAGTACCCAGCTGTGTTCTTCATGTTGACTGTTTCAGTATGTTTACCTGTCATGTGATGATCAAGAAGAAGACCCCTCTTGCTGCAGCAGACACTCTCAGGGGGCCATCCCTATTGGCTGGCTTTGTGTCTGAGCCCTCAATGGGGGCCAATAGAAAGACAGCCAAGGGTTGTGACCCCGCCATTTTTGTCGCCTTGTGGAGTTATTTATCATCATGTAAATGTTCTGTACTGGAAACGTTGCTCTGTAATTACCTCTGTATGTTAATAAAACGTGGCAAAAAATGTTGTAATGTGCACATGTTTTCTTGTGAGTGTCGAAAAAGCTCCACAGGTGTTAAGTTCAAGGTTCAAGGCTTTTATTGGTCATACGTACATAGCTACAGTGTAGTTATGTTGATGAAAATCTTAAGTCACAGTCTCCTCCAACAGTGATTTACAAAGTGATTGGAATATGATATATTAAATAAATAATTGTAAGTTGCAGCCAGATTAATGTTATGGATGTTGTTTCAAAAGTTCAGGTGTTTAATAGTCTTATGGCCTGTGGGATGAAACTGTCCCTGAGTCTGGTTAAGTCTGCAATATCAAATCACATTTTCATTGTCTGCAATGAGTTATCTTTGCTAGATCGAGGCCAAATTACCTGAATTTGACATGAAGCACTGGTTATTTAAAAAAGCAAAGAGTGATAAGAGCTTCTTCTTCCACATAAATAGAACATATTTTCTCTTACAACTAAAGTCAAAAGTCAACTTTAATGTAAATGTTTCTGTGTGTGTGTACAGACAGAGATCGAAATAATGCTTCCAACAATCCCGAATACAGAATACAATAATACAAATATATAAATATGAATATCTTCCATATACACAATCAAGAGACACATTTACACATATGCACACATTAAGATAAAACACAACAATCAATATACAAAATAAAATATGTAAATAAGCACATGTTATGCTTTTATAAATGCTTAGGAAAAGATGTGTGCCGTACTGCAGCACATGCTCTATTAAACACAAGGAAAAGCACACAGACACGTATCTGGGATTTTCCCCGTCCCCCTGACTAGCGTTCTGACTTTGGCTCCTGGAGCACACTCTTGCCTAATATTGATTGGCTTGTCTGTGTGGAGACAGATGAATGCATTAGTACCCAGCTCACCCTGCCACTGGAAATATAGTAGGTTCATGTATTAGGCACCCTGTCTGGTTGCCATGGAGATGCACTGGGAGTGAGGGACCAGGGAAGAGAGGGGGAGGACGGGGGGTGAGGAGGAAGGGAGACGAGTGGGGGATACAGGATGTGAGGAGGCAGTCGACTTGATTTGTAGTCCCGTTCCCTCTTCTTCCTCCTCTGCCTGTCACTAATGTGTCCTCTCTTAGCTCTAGCACCTATACTCCTCTTCTTTGTTCCACCTCTATTTATTTGTTCTACTACTACATCTTTTAAACCCCACAAGCAAGAGTCTGACTCTTTTTTTCGCACGGTTTGCACTTTCTCTCTGCTCAGTATTCTATTGATGACCCTTTTGTTCTCCGTCTCGCCACCTCCCTCCCCACCAGTTACACATTAACTCTTTGTATATGTGTCTTGTTTTTTCTTGCCTGTACGCTTTCCACTTTATTCCTGGTCACACGTAAGCATTTCACTTCCCAGTCTTCTGCTCCTCTCTCCCCCCTCGCCTCCTTGGCTCGCTCCATCTCTGTGCTCTGCAGTAAAACTGGTGCATTGAGGCAGCAGGAAATGGGGACCAGAGACAATAGAATGGAGGGAAGAATGGAGGTGTGATGCTCTCCTCTCAAACCCAAGCATGTTAAGGATACATAAGCAGGACACTTTCTTACTTAAAATGTCATGTGGGAGATGCACACTAAATGAATAATGAAAGCTTTCATTTGTAACCTTCTCCTGGATATACAAAACACCGGAATGTCAACGTGTGGTCACCATGAGCCCAGGATTTGAATGAAAACAGTTCATACAGAATCAGCTTGAGTTAGATGCTCACGCTGCAAAATGTGCAAATCTGCTTTGTGTCTGGTGTGTGTTAGCTTGCTGTTAGGACCCTCTCTAAGCTGCTATCAGTGCTTTGTTGAAGTGCAAGACAGTCTTCGCCTGTGTTGGGGTCACATTTTGACTGAGCACAATGTTAGAAATGTGGACTCCTGCTTCAGGATGCTGGACCGCATTTTCAACAACCATGAGAGAGTGATTGAGGCTGGAAGAGTGGGTACGAAGTTGTTTTTTTTATGTATTATGTTTTATCACGAAAGACGACGTAAACAGTAAGAAAGATGGTTTATATTTTGATGTGTGTGCCTGTTCCAGGTAAGGGCTATGACAAACAACTGAAAGAACTTCTGGATGGGGAGATCCTGCCCATGGTGGAAGAGTTCGACAAAAAGCGGAATAATGGTAGCTGAAAACCTGCTCTGATAGACACATAACTGCACAAGTTAATGAGTCTTTAGGGTGCCAGGAAAGGAGGGGAGTTAGAAATGAGTTTTCAAAATGATGCCCTAAAGCACACGATTCACCAGGATGTGCTGAGCTGAATATTTCTGTTTCTCCTTCTCTTCATCCATCAGACACAGTGTATGAGGAGAGGTTGCAGACAGCAGCAGACAATTTCATCGCAGCTGCCTCCAAACTGCCTAGAGGTGAGACAGGGTCTCTTCCCCTTTCCTTCATCTTTTCATCTATGGTAAGACCCCATATTAGGTCATTACAGCTCCCTGTGATCTCTGTTCTCTCTCTGGAGTGAGCTAGTTATGTTATTACAGCCTTTCAAATAGTGTGGAGAGTAAAGGAAGCAGGTTGAACTGACGACTTCTGGGTGGAAAGCAACTCATGAAATCAAAATCAAATAAATGACTATCTTATTTTGTTTTTACAGTCTCTGGATGCCTCCCTCCATGTGGTTAGTATTTCTTCTCTTTTTTTTTGTTTATTTCTTATAATCATTCATGTTGTTGGACACTAAATACTCTTATACTTTCATGCACCCATCAGGATTTCAGAGTGCAGGTGCTGTATACAACTGTATTACCTGCCAGTATGACTCCTGTGAACTCCCTCTTGACTGTCCAGGTGGGTATTCATAGTTTAACATATTGGATTAGTGATACTGTTACATCACAATTTTCTAATAGTTAAAAAAGGGTGTACTAATCCAGACTTGACACATCCTTACATAACTATAATATCACCTTCATAAGCCTCCACTCTTGATCCTTGACATTTTCCGTTTTTGATCCTTAAATGCTCTTAGCAGGAAGTCAAGATTAAAAAAAGTGACAGAGGCAAGGTTTTATTTCCACACATTAAATATTTTGCACAGAGCCCCCAAGGTACTCTTTAAGTCCTTGGCTTCTTTATGCAAGGGGACAGTTGACTCCCACACACGGTGGTATAGATTCATATCAAGCCTGTGCAGCGCAGTCACTGTTTAGCATATCATCACTTTTACTCCGCTCCACAGAGACTGGGCTTAAGTATTATCATTAAGGAGGGCTCAGACTGCAAGAGCTGCCCCCCTGTGAATGTTATCTGTGTGTGTGTGTGTGTGTGTGTGTGTGTGTGTGTGTGTGTGTGTGTGTGTGTGTGTGTGTGTGTGCGTGCGTGCGTGCGTGCGTGCGTGCGTGCGTGCGTGCGTGCGTGCGTGTGCGTGTGTGCCTATATGTTTGTGTCAGTTAAAGAAGTTAAAGCAATGGAGAACAGCATGAGCCAGATGTGGTGTGAAGTGCCATTTCACTTACCAGGAAATATCGAGGTGATCTGGAGGTTTGCAGAAGAGGTACGCTCATCCTATGATGAACTATTCAGGTTCACTGCAAATGACTATTAAATGAATACTTAAACATTTAAAACAACACATTATGACTTTCTTCCCAAGAGTTAAATTAGAAGATTGATACCACTCTTGCTGAAGCTGTGTCACGGGACCAGTAAGCTTACATTAGCTTAGTTTATTTTAGCTTAGCTTAGTTTAGTTTAGTTTAGATTAACATTTGAAAGCAGGAGGAAATAGCTAGCCTGGCTTTGTTCTGAGGTAAAAAAAAAAAAAAAGAAAAAGCTTTCATAAAGCTACATTTGCCACATTTTGTCAAATAGCAGTTGCATTTATAAAGCTAACAGTTTAATTTGTTTATGTGAAGGCTGTGTCTGAGCTGAAACAAGCCAAATGTTTGACTAACCAACACATTAATTCCTTTCCAACCCACATAAATAAACATTAATGATTACACTCAATAAGTAGACACAGTGCAGGCCTTATATTCATACTTTTAACACCAACCAATACAACACAGCACCATTTTCACGTTTTGGAGGGGTTGTAGTTTTATATAAGGAGTATGTATGGGACTGTTTATTGGCCTGGACATCACTGCAACCTGCCAAGAAATACTGCAGAACATATGGACCATCCCGTAACAATTTGTATTCTCATCACTTTAAACAAATGAGTTATAGCATGTTGACTGGTGGGTACTTTAATTTACTTTGGAATTGTTATAATTATTTTTATTTTAAAAACTTGGACAGGTGAAAACCCAGCAGGTGGATCATTTTAAAGAAGTTACTGCAGGCCTGGACACACTTTATTCCATCCCTTCTACCAGCTTGCAGCATGTGGGCACCTACCAGTGTGAGATCTACTCAGGCCAACGCTCCATTGTCAGGCTCTACTTCTATCTCACAGGTAACACAATACGCTACTTTCAGATTTAATTTTACTCTTTGTATTAGATGTTAAAACTGATGATACAAAATGATGCTATTTTCTTGGAATATTGTGAATAACTTTGAGGGGGAATTGTAAACAAAAGGAAAGCACAAATAAAAGCCAGTGATAAAAAAAACTCCTCAAATCTGTGGAAATCATCAGTTATGAAACCACATAACAAGGGCTCAATGGCTGTGCCACAAATCAAATCATGGAGGCAATCAATAATGACTCCATTCAGATGTAAATTAGTGAATGTGTATTTATGTATATACTTATATGGATATGCATATTCATACAATTTGTATGTGTGCATACAGTATGTACTGTACAATTAGATGTGTATCTTTCCTGATTAAGTATTTATATAAATTCTTAATAGACTTCACTGCACTTTTCTTTTAGTCGTGTTGTTCTTTTCTTTTATGCTTATTTTTCTCTCGATGATTTAAGATTGAACTGTTATATAGACAACTGTTGAACTGGGGGGGGGGGATAACAACCCCACAAATTATACAGATTATGATTGAAGGTAATGACAAAGTATGAAAGAT